TTTTCTTTTTCTTGTAGTTTGCTATTTGGTGTAAGGAAGAGCGCGCGCCTAAATATTATTTGAAAATTTGTTCAAAGAAGTTTTCATAGATTATAAAGTGCATTTAAAATGTATGGTGCTGTACGTGATATAATGAGGTTAAAATGTAAATTTAACTTAAACTTCTTATAAAAGGGTTTATAAAAATTAATTTAATGTAGAATAGTAGATTTTCATTGCTATTTAACCTACATAAATAAAAATTTTCCATTTTTAGGTAGGAAATAAGCTCCTTAATGCAGTAAAAATTTTTTAAAACACTTAATATTTCATTAATTTTACTCTATCATTTTAGCTTAAAATCATCATGCTCAAGATATTAAAAGAAGAAAATAGCTACAGTAATTTATAAAGATATAGATGTTTAAACTCATTTTTATGGTACGGTAGTCTGAAAAATCCAATAAATTCATAATAAATTCAAAAATTTTTGAAAATAAAAATTAAATTTTAAAGGAACGCATAAGATGTTCTTTCATATTTGGTCTTTACCTGTTTAATAATATAGAAATTCTCATATACAATAATATAAAAATCAAAATTATGGTTAAAAATAAATTAAAATTAAAAAATAAAACAACATGACTAATGGGGAAAATTTTTAATGGTTTTCCATTAACAAAATGAAAATCATATAATGAAAACAAAAAGTCAAAAAAATCTGTATTTTATATTGAATTTTCAATTAAAAACGAAAAAGCAAAAAAAAGAAAATTTATTTATTTTTCTTCCATTAAAAAGAAGAATCTTAAAACTATAATGTACTATAATAAAAAAAAAGCATTTTTAAGTAAACAATAATGTAAATGATCCTTTATTATGTTTACGTATATTGTAAGCGCGTATAGTGCATCCATGATTTTGGATAAGCCATAATAAGAATTGTAAACATTTTAAAGAGAAAAAAATTATTTGAAAAAAATAAATTTTTTTTTGTTCTTTTGTTTTTCTTCTCTTGTGAAAAGATTAAGAACGCAAACCAAAAAAAAAACAATCTAGAAAATGCTAAAAATTTAATATGAAAATAAAGAAAAAAAAAACAAGAGAAAAAAAAATAATTTTTATTTTTGCATGCAGTTCTAATTATAGTAACTTGCAGATCAAGAACGTGATATTAAGAAAAAAAAAAATTACAAACACTAACGCTATTTTTCGCTATGCAATTTTGTATTTTAAAAGAGAAAAATAAAAAAAAAAAACGAAATATCCACACGAAATATTTTTGTGACGTTTTCGTATTCTAGCGATTTACCCCTTCTTTTTACACACAAGAAACTAGGTATTTTCCGCCTTAATTTTGTTTTTCTTCTAATTTTTCGTTATTTTTTCTGCGGTTTAATTTGTGTATATTTTTATTTTAAAAATTCAAAGAAATAATTTGAATGCGACTAAAATTAAAAGTGATTAAAATTATTTTTATAAAATTAAATCTAGTTTTTTCTTTATTTTTGAAAATATTTACTTTTAGAATTACTTAATAAAATATGCATTTGTTTTTTTAAATAGGATTTACTTAAATTACTCTTTTATTTACTAGAACGTATATTATAGTTGCTCTATTTCGTGTATTGTTGGCGAATACATTAAATTTTTAATTGTTATATCAATATAAACGTAAAAATATTAAGAAAAATTTTTGAATACTATACAAATATGAAAATTTTTCAAGAAGACCAGGACTATTAGAACTAAGTAAAAGTACAGTTAATTGATTAAGATATAAAGCAATTGATAAATTGTAATATTAAAAATTAAATGTGGAATGATGCAAATTAATAGTAGCTATTTTGTATAATTTTAAGGTCTTTTTATAAATGAAATATAAAACTTGTGGAGGCTGATCAGCTTTCTATTAACCATAAGAGATGACATCATAATACAATATTTAAACGTGGACAACATCATTATACTGTCACAAACAAGTGTATAGTATCAAATATTTGATACAGAAAATTAGAATTAATTTTAGCAAATGATCGTTTTAATTAAAATAAATATTTTTCAACAACTCAAGGGAATTATGCTACTTTGCAAATCATCAATTTGGTTTTAATTTTCTGAGGGAACATGAACACATTACAATGATGCAAATACTTATTTAATTAATAATTAAATTTTAGAAATTATTGTCTCATATTAAATGAGATGGAAATCTCTTTTATAAATTAATAATCCATAGACCATAATAAAGTCTTTATATTTTTTTTTTCATTTCTTTGAGGATCATTCAAATAATAATGCATGTACTATAATTAACTTTAATATACAATAGTCTTATTGAAAATATAAATTTTAATTGGATATCTTTTGCAATTTGAAATTTTTCTTTATTTACAAATTTAAATCAATGAAAATTTTGTTTGAAGATCAAAGTAATTAATATCATAATAATATTATAAAAGATATAGGCAAGTCTTTGAAGATCATTTGTAATTAATTATTATTGAAGTAATAAACTGCATCATAATATTTTACTTTCAAACCAATATTTTAATCAAAATTTTTATACATACTTATTTAATTTGAAATACTTTTGATATTTTTGAAAAATAAAATTGTAAGCAATTGGGCTTCTTCTGAGTATCAAATCAGTAAGTGATAGTGATATTTATTGTAAAAATTTCAGAAATTTAACTATAGATACAAATAATTTGTATGAATTGGTTTGTGTTTGCAATAATAATTACAAACCTTTTATGATACTCGTAATTGTCACTATTACTTGGTGATTCGATACTCAGAGTATACCCCAAAGTTTTGTATATTGGAGTTTATGTCTCCTTGTTTATATTACATAATTTTTATCTTTGATAATTATAAATTATCATAATTATCCATGAATTCGGTTAATTTAAATGATTATTGATACGAAGCATAAACGAACATTAATTTTATTAGTTTATTATCATTAAATTTTTCTGAAAATCGAAAATTCTAAAATTATCTTCTGACTATTTGCATATATACTATATTATTCATATATATTAAATATTCATGAAATTATATATAATTTTTAACATGAACACCTCTTAAATTAAAATTTATTATAATTATATATTTTATATCATTAAAATATAAATATTGGAAATTCGAAAAAAAAAATATAAAATTTCGTTTGAAAAATATAAAAATAATATAATTTAAAAATAAATCTCTATTTTGCAATAGAGATTCTAATAAAAAAAAAGCAATCTAAAAAACATTTTAATAAAAATATGAATTTTTTTTATTCATTTTTCTATTAAAAATTATGTCCCATGTTTTTCAGTTAAATGTACAGTAAAATAATTAGAGTTATAAATTTTACCCCAAAACAACTTTAATTTTGAAAGCATCTATTTTTAAATAAGAACGTATTATTTATGTATATTTGTACGTACACACTTAAAATATAATTTTAGATGGTATAAGAATATCATAAGGAAAACAATATTTCATATTATATGAGAATTTGATGAAAGCTATACTGGCAGTAAATTATATTGTAGTTTATTTTAATGCTTGGTTACAAAAATTTTATATTCTTTCATTTTACGAGCACAAAAAATTAAAATTGTTTCTTAATTAAAACAAAAAATAAAAAAAAAACCATCCATTTAACTTTGTCACATACAATAATAAAAATCAGTCATGGAAATTTAGGATTAGGATTGCTTTTTAAAGAAAAAGAAAATTTATTTTCTGTTTTAAATTAAAAAATAACCAAAAAATTCAGATTGTGTTTTATTAAAAAAAAATTTTAATTATAAAAATTTACTGTAAATCGCGAATAAGCTTAAACCAAAAATTTAATTTACACAATGTGATTTGATTTTTGAAGCGATAAGTTCTTAATCTAAAAATTAATTACACATATATTACAGTTATGACATAAAATGGCGTACAATATACAGCATACAGTTTTATCATTTCACAGATTTCGAGTTTAAGTTTCTCGCAAGCTCATTATTTGTATAAATCATTAAAATTACAAAAATCTTAAAATCATTAAAAATCATTAAAACTACAAAATAGCATCTAATTTAAAAGATCTTTACAACTCAGTTTCAGATAATTTTAATGAATTTTATTTTTAAGTTAAAAATATCATTATTTGAACTAAAGTTATATATGTATGCTGCGTTGTTTTATAGTAATTTAAAAATACAGACGAGTTTTATTTAAAACAGCATTATTTTTGTTGCAAAGTCAGTGTTGTCGTAAAATAAGAAAAGTAAAATCTTTTACATATGCAAGTACTCTTTGGATATTGTATTTAGTTAACTTAAAATTAATCTGATAAGAATTATATACTTAATATTAATATTGATATGAAATTATTTTATTAAATAATTTTTATTTAATTTAAAAATTATTTCATATATTTCTATTCATTATTCTTAATCGGATAAGATCGTTACTTAATTTTTTTTTTTTTAAAATGGCAACACTTTTATCAATTATAAAAGTAAATAATATTATATTAATCCTCAATATTATAAGTTTTTCATCGTATTTTTTTTTAAGAAACAGCTGTTTAATTATCTCTCTCTCTTTTATTATAGTAATGTTAGAAAAATAAAAGAAAACCATAAATATTTTTTGATTTTCTCTATTTTTAAAGAAATGCAAAAAGTAAATGCTTCAGAACTTGCTCACTGTTTATTTTGTATTTTATATAATTTTATTTATAAATTTTTTATATGTATTATAATTTTTAAATAATATAATGTTAACAGTCTGTTATGTTAATTTATCATCTAACAATTTTAAGAGAAAATTTATTTTTCATTTCATATATTTTTCTTGTGGTTTTTTTTAGATATGTTCATTGCTCACGTAATTCAGTTTTGGTAGGACTACTAACTAAAAATTTACGCTAAAGAATTAAACGATTTCTGTAATACTAATGAATAATAACATTATTAATGATTTATTTTTGGATTTTTATTTAAAACTTAATATATTCATCTTCTTTTTTTTTTTTGGCTTGCTCTATGTCACATCACAAAATTTTTAGAAGATCGTTCCGTTTATTTTTTCTCTCTTAGTGTGTTTGCGCATCTCATTCTGTTCATACGTTTTTGAAGGAAAAAATAATTATATTGATTTGTATACCGGGTCGAGGAAAATATTTAAGCAAAAAAAAAATAAAAAATAAAACGTGCATAAATTAAAAGAAAACAAATGAAAAAAATAAAATAATAAATAAGGAAAACGGGGTCAATGTAATTTCCTAAAAAAAAAAAATTAGAAAAGTAAAAAATTTCAAATAATTTTTAAAATATTTGTTTTTTTTTTTTGTTTTTGTAATTTTAAAATTTAAAATTTGTTGTATTTTAAATTTTATTTAAATTAACCAATAATTGTAGTGTAAATATTTAAAATATTCTTTTCTAAGATTTAAAAATTAATTTTAATAAATTTGCATTCAAATTTATTAAAAATTGCAAAAAGGAAATATTTGATAAAATTATACAAGCAGGAAGTGAGAATGTAAATTTCCTAAATCTTAAAAAATATTTTATTAATACTGAAATTATTATTTTTTGAATTTCAAAAATAATTTTTTATGTTAAAAATTAAAAAATAATTAAAAAATTTCTTTATATGTGTGTATAGTTTTACATTTGTACATTAAAATTCCATTAAAAAATAAATAAAATTAAAAAATAAAGGAATTAAAAAAATAATATTAAATAAAAATCATTTCTATGTTTTATTTTAGAAAAAAAAACATTATAAATTATTTCAAATATTGTGCGCACAACAAAAATACATAAAAAGTAAAAAAAAAACACAAAAACAAAAAAAATATTTTATATTTTTTGAAAATGTTTTTTTTTTTCTCAATTTTTTTTCTTAATACACAGAATTATTTAACGGTATAACGAATTGTTTTTTATTTTTGTTCTTTTATTCTTTTATCTGTTTCTTTTTTTTATATTTTTTTGAGGTTAAAAGTGATTTAAGAGATTTATTATGAATTATTAATATTACTGTTGTACATCAGTGTACATATTCTTTATTTTATAATCTGTATATATGTATATTATAAATATGTATAATAATAATATTTGAATATTATATGAGTATGAAATATTAATATAATATAAGAATTCATATAGGTATTAGAAAAGTGTACAAAGTTCAAATACTTAAGTGTATAATATATTTAATAAAACAATATAATATATTCAATAGAAATATTATATATTTTGTTTATATGTACATATATATATATCATATATATATTATGCAAATATATATTACTACCTACAGAATGTTTTAAATTAAAAATATAATTATGTGTATAATATACATAGATATATTATCAACATTATTATTAAAAAGATGTGACAAAAAAAATATATACGTATAGAAAATAAGCGTGAATTTGTATATTTTTGTTTTTTATAAAAATACGCATTTATTAACAAATATTTTAAAATAATAATATTAAAAAACAAAAAAAAAAAGAGAAAACAACAAACAAAATTTAAAAAAATTATATCAAAATTTATAACACAAAAATAAATAATTAATTACAAATTTGCTCTTTTATAAAAATATAAAATAAATAACAGAGAAAATTAATAATAATAAAAAAATTAAAATATATTCTAAAAAAAAAAATACAAAACATATACTTATGTGAAATAAAAATATATGAAAAAAATCTAAAATATTTAAAGCATGAATATTGAAAAAATTAAATAAAAATTAAATAAATAAAAAATTATGAAAAATGAAAATATTTAATAAATAAATTAAAAAAGAAAAAACAATTTAAAAATAATTTGATTGCAAATATATGAAAATTAAATAAAATAAAAATTTTAAGTGTTTATGTGTATTTATATTTAATTTATGAAATATGATGTTTTTTTTCAAATAAATTGAATGAATATATAGAAAACATGTGCATTCAAAATATTTTTAAAATTAAAATTATATAAAATATATAATAGTTTTAATTTTCATACACTCTAGTGTAACCAAATGTATATTATATGTATACAAGAACACATTTATGTACATAAACGATAATAAGAATATTTATTAACATTTAATTATATTATTTTACTTTCTGTTTTCAGTGGGCTATTAAATTTGTTTTTGTATTTAACAAAAAAAAAAAAACAGAAATGAAATTAAAAATTATTTAAAAAATTTTATTATGAGAATAAATAATGTGTACACATATTTATATATAATGTGTATTAAAATAAAATATTTTAAGTAAATAAAATAATTAAAATAAAAAATTTCAAATATAATTTTTTTTTTTTTTAAATTAAAAATATGTGCGTAATGTTTTTGGCATATTTTGTAGACAATTGTATAAAAATAAGTCATACAAAAAAATTATTAAATTATTACTCATTGGATTTTAAATTATTTTAAAAATTAAATTACTTATTCTTTTTTAATAAGAAAAAAAATATCAAAACATAAATTACAACAACACAATTTTGTTTTTTTTTCAAATCATACTAAAAATAGTCAGTTTTTATTATTGATATTTTGCCGGGGTTCTTTTGTCAATTTTCAATCAAAATTTTCTTTTTTCTTTTCTTGTCGGCTCTTGGTAACAAAAAATTAAATTTAGTTGGAACAATAGTTTTAATATATAAATTTATAGGATTGATTTTACTTAAAAAAAATTGTGTTTGTTAGTTTGATTGACGGCAATGAGGTTTTAAAACATTATTGTTAGTTTGTATATCGAATATACAGATAGTTAAAAAAATCACTGTGTATAAGTTGTATATAATGTAGGTATTTGGGTTGCATTGTAATGCTATAGCAGAATTTTTAATTTAATGTAATTATAATAATTGATACAATTAGCAAAATGACATATGAAAATTTTAGATTTAGTATTAGGAAAATCAATTTTTTACTATAAAGTGAACAAAACAAGTTTGTTAATGGATACATTAATATTATTATGATATAATACAGAACTTATAGAAAATGGTTTGAGAGTGTGTTAAAAATTACTCTGTGCAAGGCGGGAAATTCCATTGTGTCAACAACTTTTCGAATGATCGAAGGAGACATAACTTTAACAGGATGGCGCAAAATAACTTTTATTAAGGCTCAATATGGCTCAATGATAGTCAAAATGTCATATACGTCGCAAACAATGCAATGATATAGCAGCTCTTATTTTACAAGGGTTGTATTAGAGTAGTATGTCTACCATTTCGCGTGATCATGACGTATTGAATATAATTAAACAATATTAACGATAAAAAGAACTTTAAATGAAATATAAGCACACATTTTTTTTACGACTGAAAAGAAAATTAGTATATATATAATAAAATTAAAATGCAAACTGATTGAACTAATTATTTATTATTGCTGCAATATTATTGCCAATTTTAAAAATAACAACGCTTACGTTAATGATTTTTAATTAATTGCGCGCTCTAAATAAACTTTTATTTTTAGATTTTTTTCTATTATTTTTTTTTTTTTAAATTTTAAATTTTTCAAATGCAAATATATTTTATTTTTTAATTAAAATTGATATTAATTTATATAGGTGTAAGCATATGACGTGTTTATAAAATTTTTCAAAATACAATTAAAAATTGAAAGTAAACTATAAATAAATTTTTAACCATAAAAAATTAACGATTGAAAAGTATTTTATTGTTAAATATTTTCCCTATAAAGGTGAAATACATTTGTATATATACATAAAACACATACACACATTATGTATTTCAATGAAAAATTGAACAAAAAATGTGTAAAAAGTAAAAAGTATAAAATGTTTTTCGAAAGTGTTCCCTCGGGAAACAAAAATTTTTCTTAATAAATTCGAATTACCTGCAATAAATTTTTATGCCGTAAGTTGTATATATACTATGTAAAAGAATTAATATTGAAAATTTTTTAATTTCAATTAATAGGAATTGTTGTCTGGAAATTGTTTGAATTAAATTTTATTATTTTTTCATTATTTTTTGATTTTTGGATGTTTGAACATATTATATAGAATATGTTAAAATTCAATGGGATAGAAATGTTGAATCATTTTCATATTATTTGGTTTCGTCGTTTTAAATGATTTAATAATACATATAGGACATAATTCGAATATTTATGTAGGTGTTGATGCATTATAAATTGTTTCAGTTGGTATTACTTGATGGCTATTGTGTAGAAAATAGGTTTTGATTTTTAAATTTCATTAAAATATTAAGAATAGATTAAACGTAGGTTAAGCCGTACTGGCTTTAAATATTCTTAAATAAATGAAGCCGCAATAGTAAATTATACTCAATATTACTTGTAAACTATATTGGTAACACTGAATTTTTTGCAATATTTGTGGTCATTTAGATTGCGTTTCCTGTATTAATTCCTTTTTGCGTGCACCACAATACTACCATAGTATAATCGCATAGAAAATTTTTTCACAGCATCTAGTTAGGACTCTTGTCCATGAAGATCCAACCCTATCAAATTTTTTACCTCCACTTCTTTTATACTAAAACGTTCTTTTAATATTAAATGTAGGTTCTGCTGATCTACATTTTTAATTTGAAACATTTGTGAAAAACTTTATATTGATTTATTTAAATGTGTTGTTGTGATTTTTAAAAAATAATTTTAAAATTTAAAAAAAAAATTTCTTTATTTTTGTTACTATTTTATTGATATTTTATTTAAATTCCAGAATTAACAACAGTACATTTTGTTGAAATAGAAAATGAAATTTTGTTTTCAAAAAAAAGTTTTTTTTTTCTTTCAAATCTAAATTTAACATATAAAACCAATTTGATCTTTTAAAAAAAGCCTACACATGTGAAAACTTTAAAAATTAAAAGAATAAAAAAATATACGAAAAAAGAAGAAACGAAAATAAATTCTTCCTAAAATAAAATGAAATAAAAAAAAAGTAAAAAAAAAATAAAGTGTTTCCTTCTTTTTTATATTATTATTGTTCTTTTTTTTTTTGCCAAAGGAAGCCTTAAAAATGTACAACAGAAATATATGCCAACTATATGGAAAAATAACAATTCGGAATAGAAGAAAATGAATAAATTGCTTTAAATTAAAAAAAAATTCTCGAAAAAAAAAAAATTGGAAATTTTTTCCTTTTTAAATATTGTTTTTTTTTTCTTGCTGAATTGCTAGTTTCATTTTCCTAAAAAGGAACAAAAAAAAAAAATAACACAAAGTTGAAAAAGTTAAACAAATTAAATGAAAAATTCAATTGGAGAGAGAGCAAAACGAAAGAAAAGACAACAATAAAAATTACATGAAGAATTTTTTTAAGGATACTATAGGATAAAAATATCATTTCATTCCGTTATCTTATTTCGTTTTTTGTTTATTTTTACTATATTGTTGTTGTTATCATCAAATTTTGTTGCTATTTTCTTTAGAAACCAAAAAAAAAACAACAACCGAACACAATGTATATCTATCAATGTCTGATACTTATTGTATTCTTAAGTGGATTTATTGAAAGTATTTCGAAAACCTCCTTTGAATCACCCAACAACAAATTCCAACAACAATTACCATATGAACAAAAATTAAAGGAAACAAAACAAAAATATAAAAAAAATATTGATAATTCTAATGAAGACTCTTTACTATCACTATTATTTTTAAACAACAACAAACAAGAATATCAACAACAACGAAAACATCAACAAAAACAACAGAAACATGATCAAAAACAAAAAGAATATGAAATGCAGCACAAACAATTCGAAAAACAGAAATTTCCAAAAAAGGATACAATAGATTCTATTGAATCGATTTCATATAAAAATCATTTATTCAAAAATAGTAGTAATCATTATCAATTCAATTCACAATTCAATCATTATTCTAATTCTAATACTAACAATCATATTACTCAAGATTTAAATCAATATAAAGAAAAAGAGAATGAAAATAAAATTCAATTTACAACGAAAACTACAACGGCAACAACAACAGCAACAACAGTAACCGTAACAGAAAAAACATCTATAATAAAACCAGTAATAATAACACCAACAACAATAGTAACAGCAACAACATCATCATCGAAATCATCAACAAAATCATCATCAATTATTTCAATTGTTCCAACTCGAACACAAAACGAAAATTTACATCGAAAAAAGAAATCATTATCACCATTATTTTCATCATCATCAGCGGTATCATCATCAAGATCAATAGAAGGATTAGATGACATCAACTATGATGATTATTTAAATACAAAGAATCCAAATTTATTAGAATTATCAGAAGAATCATCATTATTATTACAAGAGAATGATAATGATGATGACGAAGAATTTATAGGTCCAAATGGTAGTTATGCTTATGAAGATATTATTGAAAATTATAAGAATTCAGATATAATTAGTAACAACAACAACGACAATAACAATAATAATAATAATGATAATCATAAAAATTATCATCAACCATTATCAATTTTCAATAATAATAATAGTGAATCAAATAAAATGACAGGATTTTATAATGAAAATATAACAGTGTACAATAATAATAATAATAATAATAAAAATAATTATAAGGAAACTATTAATAGTAACAATGATAATCTTAATGATAATAGTGACAATAATTATTTTAATATTAATAGTAATAATAATTTTAATAGCAATAATCATAATGAAGGAGTACAATCAAATGATCAACCATATTTAATGATTAATAAAGGAAAATCACCTATGCAATCACACATCAATAAATTATTATATACAAAAGAATTTCATTTAAAACAAGGTAAAATTAAAGGTATCATTAGAACATTTCATCCGCAAAGTGGTTTAAGAGATGTTAATCAATTTTTTGGTATACCATATGCTGAAGCACCAGTTGGTAATAGAAGATTTTTACCACCAGGTAGGTAAAAGTTTTTAATTAAAAAAAAAATGAAACTAAATTTTGCTTCCTTACTTGCTTGCTTCCTACCTAAAGACTTTTTAAATTTTTCATTTTCATTTTTGGTTTTTAATTTTTTTTCTAGTTCTTTTTTTTATTTTTTACTAAATTTGTAAGTTTTTTATGTGAAAAGAAATGATTAGAAAAGAATTTTAAAACTTTTATTTCCATATTTGGCACAATTTAAATTTTATTTTCTACTTTATATTATTTTTAAAGATTAAAATGGGAGAAAAAACCCCAAAAAAAAAAAAAAAAAGTACCAAAATTAAAAAGGGGAATAACAACATTTTTCTTAGAATTTGAAAGGTTAGAAAATTTAAAGGATTAGCCGATAGCAAAATATTCTGTAAGACAAAATGGAACTAAATGCAAGCAATTTATGTGAAAAACTAACAAAATGAAAAAAAAAACAAAAACAACAAATGGAAAAAGTACAAACAAAAATTAATGAAAAGTTAGAATTCAAAATAAAAAAAATAAAAGGTGTATTAAATAGAAGATATTTGAGTAGATTGTGTGTAGTTTTGTGTGTAACTTAAGTGAAAATAGTTTCCTTATGAAAAAATAAAAAGGATTGTAGAAAAAAATTGGAAAAAAAAAAGTCAAAAGAACATTTGAATGAACAAGAGAAAATTCATTAGAAAATTTAGGTCAACTTTTCATGATTCATGGTTAAAAATAGAAATGAAGTAAATTTCGATGATTAGAAAAAAAACCAGCACAATTCGTTGCTGTCATGTAATGTTTGAGTTTGTCACTCTCAGTTTTTGTTTTAAAACTCACAGTTTTATCTGGATTGGAACGTACGAAACAGAGCGATCATTCTATACTAAATGGGAATGATTATTTTAAAATTCATAAAGTCAATAGGTTTGAATTACTCACCCACATTTAAATTTCTCTTTAAGAGTAAAATTTTTTAATGCTTTTAAATTTACCGCCATCTATTTGAAAAATAATGAAATGCAAGTATTTTTACGGTTGATATAACATGGTTAGGTGAATAATAGTTTTTTCAGTGTAGGGCGCAAGCTCTTGTTTATAGTCCGTCATGAGGTGAATTAATCTGTTGTATATATAAAATATTGTCGTAGGAACATAGAATTTTATTAATCAATTTGAGGTTGTTAAAACCTCCTATAGAATAGTTGATCAGTTTTCTATCATAATGCGCAGCCAATAAGCTAAAGATAAGAAATGTTGTGTATTGTTTGTCTTACCTGTATAACTTCGATGGGATGTTGGTATAACTTTGTTAAACTGCTTTTTATTGAATTATACTCTTGTTTCGTATTTGATTTGTCTAGCTTTTAGTTTAAAATTTATAAGCATATTCCTCATCTCTTCTTTTATTGGAGTGTTGAATAATTGACCTAAACAACTGTCTGATATTATCTGTTCTATTACATCTGAAAAATTTTAGCACATTGACTTTTTCCAAAAAAAAAAAAAAAACATTTCGTAATATATGGATTAAAATTTAGTGAAAACTTATTTGGAAATCCCCATAATTATTTGATTTTAATTGCAGTTTCACTCGAAAATATGCTTGTATAAAATAGTTATTTTTTTTTAACGTTCGTTTTAACTTTTATATTTTGTTATACTTCCTATTATCCCATTTTTAATTCTGATTAAATGTTGTATAATGATTTTAAAGGGAATATTCTGGGAAAAATTTTATTCTAATTTTTAGATTACGATTTGAAATTTTTCCCTTTTATTCTTTTAATACAAATTTGAAGTGGTTTGACTACTAATATATTATTATTTTCCCCTTGAAGGGTTCAAAAGCTTCAGGAAATTATATTATGTATATAATATTGTTTTTTGTATATGTAGAAGAACTAATTTATTTATTAGGAGTTTATAGATTTTTTTTCAAATTTACCTATTAGATGATAAGCGCATATAAAAAACTATTAAAGTTAAAAAAATTGTTAAATTTTGTGCATATGTATATAGTGCAATTGGGAATCAAATTTTTAATAGTAAAATATTTTTAATGATTATTGGAATTGTGTTAATCACGAAAAAAATTTGTAAACAGTTTGTATAAACAATTAAAATTGGGAAAATTAGTAAAGCAATTACAAGTTTGCGAATAAGTTGCGAAGTAAACTGGACTGTTATACAATTTTAAATTATAGTTTTTAAAATTTAAAGGTTGGTTTTCTTAAAGAAAAACAATTTTAAAAGTAAAGTGCGCTGTGAAAAAGTAGGAAAACTTAGACAAGTAATTTTTAAGAATTTTACAATATTTTCTAATTATTTTTGAACCTTATTGAGTTTTGTATTTCTATAACATTAAGAATTGCAAAAAATCGCAATTACAGCAACGTTAAATTTTGTCATGTTAATTTTTTAATTTTGACTTACCCCTGCAGATGTTTTTCTTTGCACAAAGTACATACATATGTATATACAATTTATTCGGTTGTATGTTGACCACATCGCATTATTTTTATTATTTAACAATAAATAGATTAAAAAAATATTTTAATAAGAATTTTGTATAGGTTTGTTGTTTCAGGTTAATTTGAGTGTCGAAAAGGTGGTAATATAAACAATAATATTATTATAGTTAATATACACAGATTTCCGCTATACATGTGTATTAACATTATGTATGTAAATAATTCTTGCATATTGCTTTACATAAAATAGAAAAAATATAAAATTCGATTTATTTATAAAATTGTGTATGAAAAATTACAACCCCGTAATATATGCAATATTTCATATCAATTAATTTTACGACTTTCAATGTTATTATAGTTTGAATGAATGGAATCATGTTTACAAAATGATGAAACTTTAATAAATTCAATTATATTCGGAAAATTTCAATGAAAACTCCATATTTGAAATTAGATCATAATGTTTTCAAACTCATAAAATCGAGTTCGTCACGAAAATCTACCCCATATTATATATATAATTAGCTAACTGAAAAGTTTGTGTTTTCCATTTTCCACAAAACTTATGAATTGTCGCTTACTACACTTTTAGTGAAAGTTATCGATATGTAGATGTGCATGTATAGATATTATTTTATATATATATACATTATTCTCTATTAACCTATCACCATTTATGCTTGTATTTAAAAGCAAAAAGACAAATAAAAAAAAAAACAAAAAATTCTTAAAAATTTCAAACTATTATAAAAAAAAAAATATTTTTACATTTTCACAATGACAAATTGAATGTTCGCGCGCTTTATGCTTCTTAAAATTTTTTTGATATACGCTAAAAAAAAAAAGAAGAAGAAAACAAAAGGAAAAACAAAAAAAAATATTTAATAGAGGTGAAATATGTGTACGGATTATACTCATGTATATTAGATGGTATAACAGAGAAGATTTTTAGGACACTTTACAATAAAAATAATTTTTTCGTTTCTATTTTATTGCCAACTTATTATAATATTTTAAATATTTTATTTTTTATTTATATTCGCTATAAGTAGAAGTTTTTATTATAATATAAGCGAATTTAGAAATTTTAGTTGGAACATATTTAATGTTTCTTCATACTTTTTTTTTTTTTTGCATAATGTTTTTGGTATGCTTTTCTTTTGTCAATGTGCCAAAGTCAATGTAAAAAATAAAAATGAAAAATTTTTTTATTTTTCCATTTTTTTTTTCCATTTTTCCATCTTAAAAATATTATATAGAAAAAGTCGATGAAATTATAACATTCGTATAAACATACAAAGATATAAAATCCCATAATATGCAAGTTTACGTTCTATAACAGAATATCTAAAAAAAAAAACAATTTTAAAAATTTAAATTTATTTATAGATTTTAAAAACGTTATTATTAGATTATAATATTTTTATTATTATATAGTAAGTGCATTTATAAGAGCGCCAATTTTTATTATAAATAAATAAATGAATTTTAAAAAGTTTATACTCTTTGATTTGGTTATAGTTTACGCCATACAGAATAAATAACGCGAGGCAGGAAAAACGTATACAAAACATAATTTAACGTTAACCGTTACGGGTGGGTGAATACAAAATTTGAACAACACATTTTCATAATAATTTATAGTTATTAAATATGTTATTTTTATTTAACAATTAAAAATAATCTGTTTAAATTATTTTAAAAATTAACAGTGAAGTAACGGTGAGGCATTTAAAGTGTTGCTTCACAGTAAGAAAAAAGGAGCGAACAAGAGGGGAAAGGAAAACGATTGGTATATATGTCGAAGAGTACGATCGTCAGTTGAATCAAAGAAAACCGGACGGTGATTCGGGCGCTTGACTCTTACCAAATCAAATCGATTTTTTTGTGGGAATGCCTACATAATATACCAGTGGACCTCAGTAGGAGAAATAAAATTGCTTCATTGTGGGTCCTATCCTGACGTATGTGCGTGAATATATTAGTGAGTAGAAGATAATTTCGAGACGGTAAACATTTTCAATTTGTAAACATTTTCTGTTTTCCGTGAAATTTTTATTCAAATATATGAGAGATCATAATATTCTCAATTTTTGAACGGCTCATTTCCTACCTAATTAAAATGTTATTCTTTCTGTCAAATTCAAAATAGTGTAAAATAATTTTTTTTTTTAATTATGTTTAATTATTTTTAATTTTTCTATAAAATTAAATTTAATTTTAAAGAAATTAGTGCAAATTTGGTTGAAATTTTTGGAAGAGAACCAAAGTAATTACATTAATGGTATTTCCAAAAAAATTTTTTTCTTTAAATTATATTTTGTTATAATAGGTTAACAATACGGTTTTGTTATAATTTCACAATGACGTAATAAAATCTGTGTATAATTTTTGCTAGTCATGTGATTATTAGAAATTTTATTTTTATTTCTAAGCGATTATTTTATTCGTTTCTAGTCATTGTTTACTTGTTTCAGTTTATGCCATCATAATTTTTTAATCTGCATAGAATATCGTTGAAAATCATATCTTGCAAAC